AAAAACCGAACCGATCCGTAAATCGATCTGTGGCCAATCCGTAGAACTAATATACATATATTATATAACTTATATAGTATACAATATATGCAGAATACATTATTGGTGTTTTTGTTTTTTTTAATAATTAAGTTTTCAAAAGTTTTATTGTTTTATGAACCCAAGATGCTTTATTGCTTACACTTTTTAGTTTTTATATTCCTTTCATTTGCATGCGTCTCTGACCTCCCATCAAGTCTCATCTGAACCCACAAACCCACTAATCTGCTCACAATCTCTTAGGGTGGTTAGATAGAAATAGATGGTCAGAAAGTGAAAGTGAAAGTGAAAGAAAGTGAAGTGAAGGAAAAGAAAATTAAGTTTACATGGTGCAGTGAAAATTTTTTAAGGTTGTTAGTTTGGATAGAATGAAAGAGAAAAGAAAATGATTGTACTTGACAAAATTGCCCTTATAATTTTAAATACTAAAAATATAAATAAATTTGAGTAAAATTAATTCATGCATCAAATTTTGTTGTTGATAATAATATTCTGAACTTGTATGAGACACCAATCACTTGAATTACTTTAGTCAAATATATATATATATATATATATATGATTTAGACATTACAATTTATATAGTAATTGTAAGGACTTTGATGAAATCGAATAAGATTAGAATTATTCCACTATATGTTTGTTTATATTAGAATAACCAATACCAATAGAATTTTACATATAACAACCAAAAAAAAAAAAAAAAAAGGAATTTAAAATATAACTTCACAACTTTCCCGATAAACAAAATTTTTCGCTTGTTTTATACAGGAATCGTTTTAGAGAAAATTAACTACTTTCGGGAATCCCAGTTTCCTGAAAACTTTCCGTTTCATCCTAAACAAACGCACAAAAAGTTTAAATATTTTTCGATTCTTTTCCTTTCTTGCTAGTTCTATCTAACCAAACGAACTCTTATGGAACCCAGATAAGTAAGCATATCCAAATTATATCGGCCGATCATTTCCTCTTCATCTCCATCTAATTTCTAATGAGTTCATAAGTTTTTTTTTATTATTTTCTTCTATAAATTTTTGTTGTTCTCTTCTGGAAAAAAAATCTTAATTGCTCCATCTCGTCACTTAGTTTCAGTTATACCTTGTCATTTTCATAACCCATTTGTTAATATGTATAGTCTTTAGAAATTCATGCATGACTAAGACGAAAATTAGTATTTCGAAACAGAGTTGACAATAAAAAATTCTCTTTTTCCTTTTAAATTCATGCGTGACTAAGACGGATATTGTATTTTGCCGCTAATTTCAGTTTTCTAAGTTGTGTTCTGTCAAGCCCAATTCATGGAAACCGAACCGAATCAATCCATTATTTCATAGATCAGTTTGGTTTAGATTGAGATTCCCTACGGATCGGTTCGGTTTCAGATTTAGCGAATTCGTGAGGATCGGATTAGTTTGAATTTTATCAAAAATTGAACCAATCCGATCCGTGACCAGCCTTACTTCTCTTTCTTTAAGTTTTGGAGAGAGAAAATTCCTTCTGTAAATAAATATTATTGACAGAAGTTTTTTTTTTAATAATAATAATAATAAGACGTCGGATAATAGGCAAAAGTGCGAAATACTCCTAATCTTTCAGCAAATGAGCAAAATACCCCTCTTGAACAATAAAAGTGAGCAAATCACTCATAGTAGATTTGACCCCTTCTGTTGGTCAGAATCCACTTTCCGGTCTGACCTGGCTGTGCAATTACATAAATACCCTATTTAATTAGCATTTTAAAAAAACCAAAAAAAAAAAAAATGCATATTGGACATTTCCCTAAATACCCTTGCAGACTCAAACGGATGGTTTCCAAATTGCAGAGTACAATAGTATAGTTGTTAGGCTTATTAGATGTTGATTATATGTTTAGTTCACTTGTTTTCGATCTATTCTTCAATTTAGTCTGTTAACAAATAAAATTTTGGACCCTTATGATTTTTTGGCACTACAATCCATTCGGAATGCCCTGGAAGACATGCCTAGATTCGACTTTTTCTCCACGTGGGATTTCACGGCGGAGCCATACAACTTCGCTGACATGTATTACAACAGCGACAAGGTCATCGCTTTGAAGCTCGGTGACCCGAGGGCCTGTTTACTGCTCTGACCGAGTTCATCGTCGTCCCGGATCGGATCATCGACGCTCGGCCTGGACTTTATCTCAATTGAATAACTTACGGGCTCTTGCCGTCAGCAAGAATTTCATCTTCGGCGAGGTTCCGGCGACCCTATGTCAGCTTCGTGCTCTGCGAACCCTCGATCTCAATTACAATTTTTGCTTAACTTATCGAACTCACTCATAGCCGCCATCAATTTTTGATTCTCCGTTTTTCAAATTGCCCTGAAATTGTAAATGGCAATTTTATATATTTATTTTGGTTGGATTTTAGAAGTTGATGTTGGTTGCCTGTTTTAGACTACAGCGTAAGAAAAAGGTTTGATCTTCAAACATGAACTTTTGATTGGAAGTCTTTTTTAGTTCCATCTTATTTTCTTATCTTCCTCTCAAGTTTAATTGAATATATATATACACACATTACCATATTGATGTACGTATATAAACTACTTTAAAAAAAAATTAACTTAGACTAATTTTTATTTTAGATTTCACAAAATCTAATTTCATGCTAATTTTAACGGGTCTTAGAAAATGCCATTATAATTGTGTTGTATTTAATTTTGATTAAATTAATATTACTTTGATAAATTGATTTGACAATTTCTTATTGTTCTAAGAAATATACATAGGGATCTAGGACTTTCTAATTACAGCAATATTCAATTTTTTTTTTTTTAATCAATTGAAAGGCACAAAGGCCAAGCCAAAGTGGCAATAAAGAGGCATAAGCCAAGTCAAATAAAGGCAAAACAAGAAAAATAAAGAACAGACTCTAGATTTATTGAGAAAGAGCCATCGCTCTAGAACGGAAACCACCAAGGGAGAAGAGCAACAACTATAGTGATCAAAGGCTAGGCCATCATTAAGCCAACAGTTCCAAAGCTACATCCACAAGGCGTCTCCACACACCCAACCCCGCACAAGATCAAATCAAGCTGAGGAAACAAAAATTGATCTAGATCAGAGATCTAGCCGAAGGAAAAATAACGAATTCACCCTATCGAGCCGGAAACAAACCAAATAAGAGCAAATCTAGCCACACAAAAACAAAAAAACGACGTAAAAATCACCCATAAGGTGAACTTATTGAGACACGTCAAGATTATTAACCTGTCGGAGGCAAGCAAGGGCACCTCCCCACTCCCATGGAAGGGAGCAGGGAGCAACACGGAATGGGGACGAGCGGTTGAGAGAAAGGTAGAGAGAGGACAGAGGAAAAGTAGAGGCGGCTAAGAGAGTAATTTTGGCTTCAAATATTCAAATATCATTCAAGCCAACAATTAGCATGCAATTTTTAGTCTTTAAAAATTATTTTAGAATAAAACAATACATGAATCAGCATACAATTTTTATAAATTGCTATATGAGTGAAGCCTATGCCTTTGTAGTCTCTGTCCACCATTATTCAGATTCCAGTAATTTCATGTTTCAAATGACTATTATAATATATATATATAGCAATACATATATATTAATTGACCTGAGAGAGAGCATAAGGACGAAATATTTTTCATTTGGTATAAAGAGGGTCAAAGGTGGGTACAACGGTCATCATGAGGGTAATTCTGAAATTAAAGGTTATAATTGAATTAGGTGCAAAAGCATATGACCGGAAAGTGAATCCGGTGTTTGGAGGGGAGCAAACTGTTCAATTTCAGAACTATTACGGGTGATTTGCTCATTTTTATTGTTTAGGGGTATTTTGCTCATTTGTTAAAAGTTCACACTTTTGCCTAAAAAAATATAATACCATAATGTTTTAAGGGAGGGGGTCCTCCTTCCATAAGAAAAAGAAAAACGAAACAAAACAAAATTTCAGTTAATTGAGGAGTCCTCCAGGAGAAAAACAAAAGATACCATAATAAGTAGAGGTGTTTTTTTTTTTTTTTTTTTTTTTTGCCCTATTGACAGGTTAATTGAGCTCATGAGGATAGTTTTATAAATGGAAAATCTCATTCCTCAATCCAATTCCACTTAACATAGGGGTCAAAATTTCACCTTAAAGAACACACTATTATATTTTTTCATACCATCCCTATTAATGTTAATTTGTTTTCCCAACTTGGAGCATGCCCTCTTCTCAGTGATGCAAAAATTAATTACTACATAAAGTAAACCACCTTAATTGCTTCTTTTGTCCTCCTGGATTTGTGTTCTTGTAATTGTGTGAGAATCCTATTGCCAGTATTTTGCATTTAATGTGTCATGTAAGTCTAAGGAGGATAATTGGTTTATTGTTGCGTTAAACTATCATTTTTTAAAGAAAGTTTATAGTGTAAATGGTAATTGTGATATAATAAAATAAAGAATGATGAATTTATTAGAGATTTTTAAAATATATATATATATATATATATATATATATATATATATATATATTTAGGTAAAATATTTTTTTACTTTTACTTTGTTGGTGTTTGATAAAGATATACGTTGAGATTTATGTCAAATTTATCGGGCAGGGCATGTAAAATAACTTGCCGAAAATTAATTAATAAATTATTTTTGTTAAATTTTAATATTTTTTTGTTCGTAAATATTTTACTACAATAAAAATAAAAATAAAAAATATTTTTTAAAAAATGTTTTAATTCCAAACAAACTGACCTCAAAGGAAAAAGAAAAGTGAATCACAAATGTATAAAAGTGAAGTATGAATATCGCCTCCCATGTTTTATATTCAAATCAACTTGATCTAAAATGGATATGGGAGATACCATTGATCTAAATTGTCTAATTTTTCTTGTAATATATATTATATTATCAAGGTCGGTAACATAACTGTATTAAATCCTTACTTTTTTCAGACAGAGCAAATTGGCCCAAAAGGAAAATTTTACTTCTTAATGGAGATGGAATCTTCAGCGGGAGCAGAAGAAGATAAGAAAGAAGAAAACCCACAATCTTGATGTTTTTAAAGTTCCTCTTTTTCAAAAAAGTTGGGACTTTCTCTGTATGAGAAAAATAAAGCATTTTTTTCAACACACATTACTTTCGTGTTCTAAGTCTCAAAATTTCTCTAATTTTCGTTCTAACATATATAATCAATTCCTCACCCCATGGAAGGTATTGCCTTTAATCTAATCGTCAAATTCTACATTTAGTTCAGTGTCGGTAGAACTAATTCACCCAAAGTCATGTAGATCAAGTGTTGGTATATATGCCTGTGTATAGTAGATTTGATTCAATTGTGAGCTTTTGATTTTCTTTTGTTGTTCTTCAAAAATCATTGTTTGTTGCACCAGCAGAAACCGCTAATACAGTAGAGATGCTCAGTCAGTTGATGATTGTTTTCAAATTTGTACTGATGTTTTGATTCTTGCAATGAATTTCTCTTAATTTTTGCTAGAAAAAAGAAAGAAAGACGATCCACCATCCACACGGTTCACATGGACGATTGAGAACTTTTCGAAGCTGAATACCAAGAAGCTATACTCTGAAAGTTTCTATGTTGGAGGATACAAATGGTAATTTTGATCTCTACCCTCTTTCTAGATTTAGATTTTGATCCTTATGTTGATTTTTTTTTTTTTTTTTCTGCATTGTGTTGGAAAGGCGGGTGCTTATATTCCCAAAGGGGAACAATGTGGACCATTTCTCAATGTATTTAGATGTTGCGGATTCAGCAACTTTGCCATATGGGTGGAGCATAGACGCAAATTTCAGCTTATGTGTGATCAATGGTATTCATAACAGTTTTACCGTGAAGAAAGGTGTGTTCTTTATGGCATTTATGCATTTTAATTTACAAATATCTATACAGAAAAAAATCAATCTTTGTGATAAATCAGTTTATATTTTTAGGTTGTTAGTTCTATTTTGTCCGTTGATCAAATTTAATTATGTGTTTTTAGCAACTTTGCTGGTATATTGATCACATAGTTGTTACTCGTATATTTGTAAGTTGATCGAATTAATCATGTGGTGGATATTGTTTTATAAATCAATAGGTTTCTGGCAAGTAATGAAGTTGCCTTAACATGTGAAAACTGAAGATTAATGTTTTAGGGTTTTGAATTTTGTCCGTCAGCATCCTTGCAAATAATATTTAGTTTCCTCACAATTTCCTCATTAGTCCACAGAGGGTTGATTAATGATTAATGATCAATGAGTCAATAACCTCTAACACTGACTTTTTTTTTTACTTCTTTTTCTTTTTTTCTCACTTAAAAGAAACAACTTAGAGGATAATAAGTAGTTTTGCTTTATACTAAATTATCAACAGTTAATCATTTGTTTACAAAAATAATAGTACTTTGTATAGAAAAACTAATTTATGCTTTAATGGTAGACACAATGTAAAAAAATCATAGGGTATGAAATTGAATGAGTTTGGAGCTTATGAATGTAATTATGAACTTATATACATATTTAAATGGAAAAATCTACATCCAAATCTAAGTAAATTCTTTTATAAACATAGTAAACGTTCCATGTAAATCATAAATAATTGAAATAAAATCTGAATAAAATAGGTCTCCAACTGGCTCAAAAGTTAAATCTGATCTACCCATGATATACTTTATATTCAAATCGACCTTGATCTAAAATGAATATGGAGATACTATACACGTGAAAATGTTGCTAAGAAACCTTACCAGAAAAAAGAAAATTTGATGTAGGACAACATTTGTTGGTCCACCCACAAGGAAAATTGGTATTGGTGGGACCCACCACATGAAATATGGAAAGAAAGAAAAAGTAGTGTTTCGTGTAGAGATATATCTAAAATGGATATATATGCGTACGTGACGTGTGTGTGGGTATTGTGCTATAACGTGAATGAAAGCAAAGACAAACGAAATAAAGACAAAAAGGGAAAACAATGATGTAAGCACTAGATTGGAATAGGAAAACTAAATAGTGGACACAAAACCAAGTACTCCCTCCGTCCCAAATTGTTGGAGTGTTTGATGGGTGCATTTAATGTGTTTGTGTAAAAATGCCAGAAGTGAGGCATGTAGGTGTTGTGATAGGTTGGCTCTTGAATTGGCGCTCGTCTTTGGAATTTGAAGTAAGAAAAAGGTATTTGATACATTTATTTTTCTGTCGGTTGTAACTCCCTATAAAAGGGTGTTAGTTTGAAGAGAAAACACCGAATTAAATGAAGAATTGAGAGAACTATTGCAACTCTTTTGAGTTTGAAGCTTATGCTTCGTCGTTATCTCAGTGTGAGATTTATCTTGAGCTTGGTATCAGAACGTTGATTCTACCTTGTTGTAATGGCGAATGATGGTAATGGCAGCAACCGCTCTGGCAAAGAGCACGGAGTGCATGCCTATGGGCAGCCATACATGCTGAAGAACAGTGGTCTGGATGGATTGGATGTTGCATGAGATCCAATAGGCAATTGTTGGGCTTGGGGTTGGCGGCAACCAGGATGGTGATCCTGTCCAGATTTGCGCCGAAGATGTTCATCACCACCGACCGAATATGGGTAGCCTTCTTATACATCCACATGAGCCTCCGGCCTATGCAGAGTATTCCAGTGATGGGGAGTTTGGAGGATTTGGAATGGATCGACGTGATCGAGCTAAGCCCGATGAAATTTGCTACTTATGGGCCACAATAGTCAATAATCACCAATGTTACATTGACAAAATCATAGCAAGAACAAGACACGAATGTGCCTTTCTGAAAAAGCAAGGCACAAACGTGTATATGCCGTTGTTATGCATATGTATGTGGTACACACAGAATCATGAGGACACAACCTTGATCTCACCCATTTAATAATTTTTTTCCTATATTTTAATTTTTGCCTTTTAATTTTGTTCAAACTTGTTTTAATATTTTATATCCATTTAATTTGATTTCTCCTAACAATTATACTTTCTTTTTGTTAACAACCATCTACTTCAAAAGCTTAAGCTATTAGAAAGAGTGCAACTATAATATTTATATCCTTCAACATGCCCTTCACGTGTGGCCTTCTTTTGGTCCAACACGTGTTTTTCAATTTTTAATTAAACTTAAGCCATTAGAGAGAGTGCAACTTTAATATTTATATCCTTCAACACGCCCCCTCACGTGTGGCCTTCTTTTGATCTAATATATTTTTTTCAATTTTTAATTAGGGTGCCGGTGAGATTTGAACTCTAAAACTTTAGCTCTAGTACACGTGAAGTTTTTAATTAGGGTGACGGCAAGGTTTGAACTAATTAGGATGGCGGTGGTTTGAACTAATTAGGGAGGGGCCCTTTAGCCTTCTTAAGCTTAAGCTGTTAGAAATGGTCCAACTTTAATATATATATATATATACATCCTTTTCAACATACCCCCTCATATGTGGCCTTTTTTGGTCCAACATATTGGTGTGCAACTTTAATATTTATATCCTTCAACGCCTTCTCACATGTGGCCTTAGCTGTTATAGAGGGTGCAACTTTAATATTTATATTCTTTTCAACATGCCCCCTCACATGTGGCCTTCTTTTGGTCCAACACGTGTTTTTCAAATTTTAATTAAGCTTAAGATTATGTTAGAGAGGGTGCAACTTTAATATTTATATCCTTCAACATGTGTTTTTCAATTTTTAATTAGGGTGACGGTGAGGTTTGAACTTGAGACATTTGGCTCTAATACCATGTTAACAATCATATACTCCAGAAACTTAAGCTGTTAGAGAGGGTGCAACTTTAATATTTATATCCTTCAACACTTTCCATACTAAAAAAAGTTATGAGCTAACATCGGAGGTTCACTGGTTACATGTTATCAAGAGGCAATTGGCCACAAATCTGAAATTAATATCCTGATATTTAACTATGGATTTATCCAAGATGTGTGGGACAAATGTCTGGAAGTTTTGAGAAGCATTGGTGTTTGTCACCGGTCCAACACAAATAAGGTTCCTCTTTTAAATTGTGTTTGCGTCTTAGGTAACAAGTACCGACTAAGGGCACATGGCATATCAAATAACAAAACAATGACAGATAGGCAAAAAAAAAATTGCACCAGATGTGTCAATCTCTTATTGAATGCCACAGCTGCGGAACTTAGAATAATGTCACGAAGTGATTCCTAAGACGCTTGGAGGATGGAAGACACGCATGCTGGTTGGCAAAGAGCAGAGTTTGACTGGGAATGGTTCCAGGGAAGGGGCGTGCAGGACCACAGGATGGTACCTCTTCAGAGTTCAGGCAGGTCGACTCGGTTCAGTTCGAGGTGCTTGTCGCTGGTCTTGGACATGACTATGAAGAAGGGAGTTGGCCATCCCTGCACAAACTGGTCGGGAGCTGGAGCCGTTCCCCTGACGAGGCCATGGCAGGCCGAAACCAGTCAGCATGTATCCTTGGGAGGGCAGGTCGTGGTGGCTGACCAGGGCGCTTGCGCGAGCTGAAGCAACGCCTTGGTGCCGCACGGGCCGTGCCGCTGCGCCAAATCTCTAGGCCCGTGACAAATGGTATCAGAGCAGGACTTGGGGTAAAGCACGGTGGGGTGCCCCCTTGTCGGTCCGGGAGGGGTCAGAGAATGAAGACGGTGCATTGAAGTTGCGTCGATGAGGAGGAATCAATGCAGTTGGGGGGGAGAGCCTCCATCTCCCCAGGAAGAGGCGTCCGTTGAAGTTGCGCATTGAAGGGCCGGAGGGCTGCGCGCACCAAAGTTCGTGCTTAGTCCTTGGGTGATGCAAACCATGGTGAAGGGCGAGCATCAAGTCGGCAGAAGGCCATTGCTTGCTCGGGATGTCGCGGAGGCGGCATGACGGAGAAGAGTCACGTCCTTGAGGAGTGGACGTCCCCTTGGTCCGAGGCCTATCATTGGGCGAGTGCAGTGCAGGGAGCTGCACAAGGAAGCGATGGTGGGAAGGCGAGCATACCGCATGGAGGCAAACTTTGGAAGGGAGTGGACGCAGTAGTGAAGCGCCGCACTGCGACGAGGACGTCGCAGGATTTGGGTGGGGGAGAATGTCACGAAGTGATTCCTAAGACGCTTGGAGGATGGAAGACACGCATGCTGGTTGGCAAAGAGCAGAGTTTGACTGGGAATGGTTCCAGGGAAGGGGCGTGCAGGACCACAGGATGGTACCTCTTCAGAGTTCAGGCAGGTCGACTCGGTTCAGTTCGAGGTGCTTGTCGCTGGTCGTGGACTTGACTATGAAGAAGGGAGTTGGCCATCCCTGCACAAACTGGTCGGGAGCTGGAGCCGTTCCCCTGACGAGGCCATGGCAGGCCGAAACCAGTCAGCATGTATACTTGGGAGGGCAGGTCGTGGTGGCTGACCAGGGCGCTTGCGCGAGCTGAAGCAACGCCTTGGTGCCGCACGGGCCGTGCCGCTGCGCCAAATCTCTAGGCCCGTGACAATAAGCTTTAATTATACACGATGTTGTGTATTGATGTTTTCTTTCCTCATGATGGTGCAGGATTTACCAAGTAATTAAATAAAGCGAGCATCACATTAGTATTTGGTAATCATGTACTGAATAATAATAATTACTGATACGTTAGCCTATAAAATGATCTTTTAAAAGTAATCAAAATAATATAAGGAATCAACTTAATGGGAGTCAAAAGATTATCCATATGTTTTGGTGAGATTTATCAAGCTTGAAAAAATTCATTGTCGCAATACTCATTCTCTTTACATTCTACCTGTTACGTTCTCCGGCTGTGTACATCACCACAGCCATTTTTCCAACAATGCTGACGTTGATTCCAAAGACTACTCCCTCTTGCCGGTGGTAGATGGCCAAAAAGGATACTCAACCTTCTTTATGAAGTAAGGATGCTGAAGGAGAGGAAATAAGTCAGAATATGGCATCGTTAATTACAGTTAATTAACTGCCCCTCAGACAGACAGCCAGAATCTCAATCCTGCAGCCCCTAGCAGAAGTCTTTTATATGGTTAATGCATAAATTGTCTGTAATGAAATGTATTGAAGATTTATGGAGGAATCAGTGGACAAAAATCTTTCAATAATTGATGTTGTTTCCTATTATTGAAGATTTGGTGTTACTAGAGGAATCCGTGGTGAAAATTCCTTCTTGTTTCATATTTTCTATCTCTTTCTATTCTCATAATTTCTTCTCCTATATAAAGGAGCCTCCACTATTGTATTGTGTATGAATTGAGAGAGTATTATAAAAGTAATGTAGCCCTTTGGGTTCTTTGTGTCGTGGATGTAGGCCCTAGTGGCTGAATCACGAAACATCTTTTTTTTTTCGTTTAATTTCTCTTCACATATGTTTTATACTTTACAACATGGTATCAGAGACTAATTTTCTTCCTAGGCTCGGACCTCTATTTTGGGGTATTCCTTTAGCATCTGAAATGTTGCTAAGGGTTTCTCGGTGCTATTTGTGACTTGTTTGGGCTGCCAATTTGTTCGGCGGTAAAGTTCTAGTTGGAAGAATTGGAACATCAAAGCGTATGTCGCCTTAAAGTCCTCTAATCATCTTTCAAGAAGTGATCTTTTGAGCATGTTGTAGACTTGTATTCCCACCTTTTAATACTATTATGTTTCTTGAGATGTGAAATTGGATTTTATTATTGCTATTGTTATTAACTGCCGGCTGAAACCATTATCTGGGAGATATGGACATCATGCACCTTTGGAAAGTTGCCGGTGCATTGCATAGCCCAAAGGACATGCGTCTATCTCCTTTGCCGTGTCTCTAGCAGTTTTTATCGACTTTTTTGAGCTGCCAATGTGTTCGGTAGCATTGTCCTCACCTTTTTTGTGTCTCTGGCAGTTTTTTGTTGACTTATTTGGGCTATCGGTGTGTTCGGTAGCATTGTTCTTCGTCTTCTCTCTTCTCTGTTCATCATTCACACTTGTTACTACTCGTCATCTCAATGGCAAGTTGGGCATTCATGCTCCAACTTGAGGGGAAGTATTGAAGATTTAATGCACAAATCAGTGAAGGAAAATCTTCAATAAAATGCAATCACATGTTGAATGGCATGAAAATATATTCTTGATTTTAAAATTTTCAGGCTAGAATTTGCCTAATGTAAGGTATATTGGAGACAAAACTAATTTTATAGTCACGAAGGTGAGATATTATATGTTTTTTTTATATTTTACTGTGAGGGTAAACTATCTTTGGAAAAGACTATTTGTTTACCTTTAGAACATAAAGTTTCAACAATGTGTTTATTTTGTTTATGACACGATCTTTGGAATTGGTTGATGTTGAGTTTTGTTGTTTCATTCTTTTTCATTTTTCAAAAAGGGGTAGATTTAGGAAACTCTATTGAAAACACATTATTTATTTGGTGTTGGAAAGTGTGAATTTGATACTATGTTCTTTTTTGTTCTCAATGCAGTGCATTCTAGTTTCCCGACGGTGATTATTCTTGCTCCCTTTACTATTAATATATTTTTGTGTTCCTATCATTATTGTTGTTGTTGTTATTGGGATTCAGAGGGGAGATTGTAGAAATTTTAATGGTAAAGTACTTAATTTTGGTGTTGAAAAATATAAACATTTAACTTACTTAAATGCTTAGCAGGTTGATATATAGTACTTCATTGGATAATCGACCACATAATGGATCAATGCTGATTAATGTTAAATAGGTAAAAAAACTGTGCAAATTATATCATCACTTATTTGTATGCAGTGGTCGATTCCTGAAAAAGTGCCATGTTTTAAAAGTTATTAAGGTGGCCCCTGCAAAGTTTTATCTCCAATCTTAAATTCAATTTCTTTTCCATCCTTCCCTTGGCACTCCACTTTCAAAACCATAGCTCTACTAGCCTTTATGTTTTATATACTGAAAATATAGGCGTGCGCCTATGTGTTATATCTGGTGATATAGTTGTGATTGTTTTCATTTTGCAGAAACTCGACACCAGTTCAATGCACAAGAAAGTGATTGGGGTTTCACTTCATTCATGCCTCTCAGTGAACTGTATGGCCCTTCTTGGTTTTATCTTGCGTTCGATAGATGCGTAATTGAAGCTGATGTTACGGTCTTCCATTCAGCTGATGATTACTTGGCACATGACCTAATAAAAGAGACTGGCCATATTGAGGCGGCAAAGACTACCTCGGGCAAAGGTGAAACTCCCAAGTCTTCTTGTCAAGGGGAAATAATTGGGAGGATTAACAGACCCACTGCTTCTGGTACCCATGCAATCCTGCCTCGGACTGATACCTCGGGCCGGTCTCTTGTCAGTAAATCAGCGACCGAGGTGATCAAGACTTCTGTCCCACCAACCACTCAGGCCCAAGAGTCTGTCGGCAGCTGTACTCTGGTCGCAATCAACAATGTTTTTTTTCTTTTCTCTATTTTTATTTTTATCTTCCAAAAAAATGTATATATATTTGTCCAGAATTCAGTTTCTAAAAATAAATTTTCTTTGTAATCTCTGTAGGAAGATGAGTTGCCAAGGAGTCCTCCAATGAGTTCTCCTCCTGATTCATTTTCGTTTGATGACATGGATGCCTATATCTCCAAGTTGGTGTCTGTAGTAGAGACTGATGCACCCTTTGACTCCAGTATCGAAGGATCGGTCGCAGCCTCCATTCCTCAATCAACTATTGAGGAAGCCAAAAAATTCTTTATAAAGATGCTATCTCGGGACCTATCAGAAATTCCTGATTTTGCCGCACACCTTACAGAATCCATCTTTGTCTTGTCAGAGTGCTGTGACCTTAGTCCAGCCCAGCTTGCAGAGTTGAACACCCTTAATGTTGCGTTTCCAACACTTCTCAAAACTTATCAGACTTCCAACCTTTCTTTGAAGGAGGTCGAAGGAAAAATGGAAGAAAAGCAAGGAACAAAGAAGTCTTTGGTTGAGCAAGTAAAGATTAATGCATTCGCATTCCAAACACAGAGGGCTATTCACAAGGACTTGATCTCGAAGGAGGCCAAGCTTCAACAAGAGGTTGAGCGTCTGCAGGCAGAACTGGCAAAGATCTCTGAGAAGAAGAAAAGTGCTGAGAAAGAGATCAAGGAACTGCATGGGAAGACGGTTAATCTAGAACAGTCTAGGTCCTCCGTTCTTGAGGAGATCTCAACTCTTGAGACCGAGAAGAAGACTACGGAGAGTTCTCTGTCCTTGGTCCAACAAAAATGGAGCGATGTAAGGCACCTATTCATGGAACCAAACAATTAATCTCCATTTTTTTTTTTTTTTTGTCTTTGTGACGATAAACTTTTGTTGATGTGCTGTTATATTTGTCTCTATAGGCCTTTTAGGATATTTTACTTATTTCTGGTTTGTTGGGATCGATACTCTATACAGTCTATAGTTTTTAGTTCTTTAGTTCTACTAATGAATGTGATTAACTTTTGCACTTCAATGTCTATATGCATGCCATTCTAAGTCCCATCTCTTTTCTTTTTGGTTTTGTCATTGATAGATATCAAGCCTTTTCATAAGCTTGGTTTCTTAAGGTGTAGGCCATTTACGGGCGTAGGATACACACTACCATCCCACCATCCACATTCTCTGTGCACTATATAATAGCTTTCAGAGGATTAATAAATGTAATTGTCTTTTGCACTTAAACGTGTGTATGCCAACTTGAGACCCATCCCTTTTTACTTTTTCTTTTTCTTTCTTTCCTTCCTTCCTTCTTTCTGGTTCTGTCATCGATTTCTATTGAGCATTGTCATAGGGTTAGATTTTGTCGATTTTGTCATAGGGTTAGATATATTTTGTCGCTTTTGCCCTCACCCTCTTGCGTTTGCTCTCGCTCTCGATTTTTGTGACTATATATATTATTGTGGGCGGGCTCGGCAGGCCAGGGACCCCGCCCCGCCCCATGCGGCCATCTACATCTTTCAATCGATATGCTCCTCCAATCAGAAGTCTGTACGCTACAAATGGTCCTTCCCATTAAGTGACCATTTGTCATATTTTGGTTCTCTCTCTTCTATAGGCAATATAGTTTTTCAAACTAGTTGCCTTCAATAAAATTATTAATTCCAACCAATGGGCATTAGCTTAGCCCAGATAGTATAATTCTATGGGCAATATTGTGGGTGGGATCAGACATTATCTCGTGGCCTAGTTGGTAAAACGGGTCAGCGGTCAGCTTTCGGTAAGTCCGTGTTCGAGTTTTCCTCCCCTTAGTTTGTCAACAATATTGCACTTCTTAAGAATTATACACTTTTTATTTTATTTATTTTTATTCGGAGTAGAAATTTACACATTTGCCCTATGAAAACTTGAATGCTAGGACCTTCAATTTAAAATATGAGGAAGTACTGTTAGGTTACAACTTACAATCCTAGTAAAGAAATACCCTTCACTTCTGTAATTTTTTTTTATTTTTTTTTTAGGTTACAACCCTTAATAAAGAAATACTTTTCACTTTTGTAAATTTTGTTTTTTAAAATATAAAATAAATGAAAGCATAATCAGAAGCTATGCCATAGTACTGTTATTTTCTTAGGAGCCCTGCTATTTGGGCTGATTCGCTTACCCCTAGATATTTCTATTCGGCCTGGGCCGAATTGACTCGAAAGGAAATTTTCTTTTCTTAGTTATGAAGTTATGAATCCTTTAAAAAGTATAGTGTGATGGCACAAGCCCTTTTTTAAAAATGGATGCTAGTGCCATGTCACTTTGATAAATTACATGAACTATCATTTAAAAAACATCAAATCTTATGATTTGTATGAGGTAATCATCTTTATAAATTCTTTTTTCATCTTTTCATATATTTTTTTTTGGTCAGTACATCAAAGCACATTCAAAAGACCATGGTGTCACTATTAAGTGTAAGGACTTGACTTCTCGAATTTTATATATGTCTATAAATTATTACTCCTTATACATGATCTCGGCACAACGGGAGATATGGCGGGGTACTTATGACCTTTTTTTCTGTAAAAAATTATTAAATGGTGTTGGCACCAAAACTTGGCAGCCACTTCAGCAGCGACGTGGACCAATGGAAAGCCGATAAGGGTTGAGCATGTCCAAGAATGGATCGGCCAGTTTGAAGATATTAGGAGCAAATATAGAAAGATATATTTCAGCCACCTAATGATATGGCAGTTGCTGAAATATAGCAACTCACATTTGACTTTTTTCAAAATGGGATGTTAACAGAAAAGGAAAAGGCTAGAGTTTGGATGAAACTCAATAACTAAATTCCTATAAAATAGGAAGTTTAGTTTGATGAAAGAAGGAAAGCGTTGAAGACATGTATAGAAGGTTGGCAGCATGAAGTGAACAAATCTAATTGTGACAAGTGGCCTTGACATGGCGCTAAAGGATGGGCCATGTAACACCCCCACATTTTCCACGCATAAGTTGATCAGGCTTATACATGAAAAATGAGGGATATCAAAAACAATTGGCAATATACAAGCATGGAATACAAAATGATGATAATAAAAGAATTTAGACAGGAAAGGAACACTAAATAATACAACATCCATCCATCCTTTATTTAAATACAGTACTCCATTACAACTTGGAAATCCTATGTCAAGGATCCCGAAATATAAACCTGAGAGTTCAACGTCAAAAGTAAATAAAAACTGAAACTGAAGTAATACGTAAAACTTCTACCCTGAACTGGATCGTAAGAGTAGATGAGTTCGGATGGTGGTCCCTCACTGCTAACCTCAACCTTGGAACGGGTACTGACCGTATCCTGAAATAACAACAATGGTGGGTCAACCCCACGAGCAAGTCCTCTCTACTATGACCCAAATCAGAGAATCAAATAAATTAATCATTTATATCCGGATGAGTACTATATCTGTATACATCCTAAGGGAACCATCCAATGTATAACATGACCTCAACCAGAATAGACGGTGATCACTTAGACTCACACTAGGTGGTTAAGTGTCGTCTTTCCCTACCCGGGAAATCAGCTATTATACATGGTGCACGGTACTGACAACACAGACTATAACGAACTACACAGTGATAACACCTCTCAAAGTACTGATGAATATACTGAGCATATAAATTAGGCAACACATGCCAATAATATTACTAAATATACTGAGCATGTCAATTAGGCAACACATGCCAATAATATTAAACCACATACCCCGACAGCCACACATCTGTCTATAGCAACGAATGCATAAGGTATAAATGAGTCTAAACTTATTAGCCAGCTCACATGATTCTATATGGCAACACATCCATATAATATAAATGCGACATAATAAACAGTCCATTTATTCCCTGAAATGCACACAGCATAATAATCATGGTTGATATATGATTAACAGTATAAATATCCCATAATATAATGGATAATTTATATGACGATAACCGTGACATTATTATATTTGAACAGTAATAATGAATACCATTTAATAACATAATAATACCATCTACAGTAATGTGGTCAAATGAGTCACATTCATATACGTACGGTAAACGGGCCAATTAAGGTTTAGAAATATTAATCGGCCATAATAATACTTAACGGGTATTAAAATAATAATTTCGTGGCCCGTTAAACCCGTAAATACCAACGCAGTACCTAAAAATCCAAGTTTAAGGTTCTGGAATTTACAAAACAGGCCTTAGGGGTATTCTGGTAATTTCCAGCAGCTGTAGAGACCCCACACGCGCCCTCACGCGCCTCCCAGAGCCTCCCCACGCGCAGCCCAACCTTCCCCACTCTCCCACGCGCGTCTGGCATCAGCCACGCGCGCGCACGCGCTCCCACGAGCGTCTGGAGAGTTCCACGCGCGCGTTGATGGCTTCCTGCTGACGTGGCGTCCTCCGATTGGTTGGCTGCATCAGCTTTCCTACATGCGCGCCACACAGGATCAATCCACCTTCTCATCACTCAATCCTATGCTCATAGATCCGGGTGTACCGCGGTAACATGGACCGCGGTGCACCGGATCAATCGCTGCTGTTTAATGGTCCAGATACGCGCGCATACCCTCCTATGGTGCGCCGCATCACACCGGATCACTCCGGTCATCTCCCCCATTACCGGCGACCGGAAAACTCGCCGGAAGGTTGCCGGAAATTGCAGAAAAGCCCCGGAAAAATCTAGAAAATTCTAGAAAAATCCCTAAAGCTTTATTTAATTATTTTCGGCCATTATTAATTTCATAGGATATTAAATAAATATATACCATCCTATATAATTAAAATTTCATTAATTTAATAAGATAAAATTTATAATTTAATAATCTACTAACCTTGGCTCTATGCATACAAATAAACTAAACAATTAATTTATTAATTCAAAGGGGAAAAGTAGATAATAACTTGCCTTTTTGGATTTAAAATAAATCCGCCGGTTGCGCGTAGTCGAGTAAATTTCTCCTACACCGGTCCAAGCTCCTTTCTTTCTCTCTCACCTTTCTTCTCTTTCTTTCCTCTAACAACAACTCTCTACTATTTTAAATTGGTTTCTAACTTACCTTCTCATCAAACTAACTAATATTTATACAAATTAAAATAATATAAATATTACAAATATCTAAATTTACATTAAACTCACCACATTCCCAACCATATGGCTTCAAGTCCTACCTATAAATATTAATGAAATCCTATCCTAATCTCTAATTTCATCATGACTTATGATTTAATACTATTATTATTATTATAACTATTATAATTATTATTATTACTACATAAGAATACATTATATCATCATAATACTTTATAACATAAATATAATACTTTAATTAACTAATATTGCTTAATTAAACATAATCAACAAATAAAATTATTAATAATAATACATGCACAATTAAATGAATAAATTTACTATTTTAACGTATACAATAATTTACATGCACCATTAAATGAACTTAATATAACAATGTAGCATGCACAATAATAGGTAAAGAAATCCACACATAAATGAATTTAAATAAACTAAACTCTTTAATAAAATACGAGGTATTACATTCTCCCCCCCTACTAAAGGAATTTCGTCCCCGAAATTCACTACATACCTGTATTAAAGAGCTCTGGATACTTGGCACGGATAATATCTTCCCGTTCCCAAGTAGACTCTGTAGCACTATGATGACTCCATTGTACACGTACTAATGGAATAGCCTTCGTGCGCATTATCTGATTTCTACGATCGAGAATACAGTAAGGTTGTTCCAAATAGGTTGCATCGGGTTGCAACTCAATCTCACCCACATCAATGTGTTGATATCGATCTTCGTCCCGTAGAAATTTTCGCAGCATAGATACATGAAAAACATTATGTACCCTATGAAGATTATCTGGTAGAGCCAGACGATAAGCTACTGCCCCAATCCGATCTGTAATCATAAAAGGACCCACAAAACGAGGCGATAACTTACCCTTTGACCCAAACCGCATTACTCC